CAGTCGCTCTTCCTCAGCTTTCTTGGCAGCCTCCACTTCTGCAGCTTGCTTAGCTAGCCGCTCTTCTTCAGCCTGTTTGGCTGCTTCCGCTTCTGCAGCTTCTGTGGCCAGTCGTTCTTCCTCGGCTTTTTTGACAGCTGCTTCTGCAGCTTTCTTCGCCAGCCGCTCTTCCTCCTCTGCCTGCTTGACAGCCGCAGCTTCCGCAGCTGCTTTGGCCAGTCGCTCTTCCTCAGCTTTCTTGGCAGCCTCCACTTCTGCAGATTGCTGAGCTAGCCGCTCTTCCTCGGCCTTCTGCGCGGCCGCCGCTTCTGCAGCTTCCTTCGCTAGCCGCTCCTGTGCCTCTGCCTGCTCGGCAGCCTGCGCTTCTGCAGCTTCTTTGGCGAGTCGTTTTTCCTCAACTTTCTGGGCCTCGGCTTCTGCAGCTTGCTTTGCTTGCCGCTCCTCTGCTTCTGCCTCACGGGCAGCCGCTTCTGCAGCCAGTCGTTCTTCCTCAGCTTTCTTGGCAGCATCCGCTTCTGCTGCCTGTTTGGCACGTCGTTCTTCTTCAAGTATGTTGGCAGCCTCGGCTTCTGCAGCTTGGTTTGCTAGCAACTTTTCTGCTTCTGCCTGCTTGGTAGCTTCTGCTTCTGCAGCTTGAGTAGCGAGTCTCGCTTCATCACTCTGTTGGGCAGCTTCTGCTTCTGCAGTTTCCTTCTCTAGCCGCTCCTCTGCTTCTGCCTGCTGGGCAGCTGCCGCTTGCGCAGCTCCTCTGGCTAGCCACTCGGCGTCAGCTTGCTTTGCAACCTCTACTTTCGCAGCTTCTTTGGCCAGTCGCCCACCTTCTGATTTCTCGGCAGCCTCGGCCCCAGACAGGGTCAAGTGACCTTCTGCAAGCTTCGATGGTGTTGTCGCATTCGTGTTTGTTTGCAGTGTTTTGGCAACATCTGTTCGGACCTACTATGCGCCTCAAACCCCAAAAGACCATAAGCAGTCCACAGCAAGGCGGCTGTTGAAGATGATCAAAACCTGCAACGTTGAAGCAAGTCTGCATGGACTAAACATTTTAAGCCCCCGAAAGCTGCACACCCACTCTCTTCCGGATACTGGAGATACTCACTCCGAATATGCGCAGATGTTTCTGCCTCACAAGGCTTTTTTCTTGTTAGGGGCGGAGGCGCTCTTTCCAAAGGCCTACGTCTTTGTTCAACACTTGCAATCAGGTCCTAAACAGGAGCCCTCGAACCCTACATCTGGAAGCTCCTGATGCCAAGGACTTCGTTGCTTAAATCTGTTTGGCAGACTACTACTAGAACGTGTGTTCTGAGTATGCCTCTTAGACTTCCATAGAAACCACCTGAAAATCCTATGCCATAATTGCTTAAAGGCGCTAGGACCGCTACACGGAGACCTACTCCACGAATCCCCGGTACCTTGCTTCTCTGCCCAGTCACCGCTTGAGCTCCGGCAGCCTCAACAACATCCACTGGCGTCCGTGCGGGCAATGCTTCCTCGCTATTGTCAGGAAACTTACTCAGGCCAGAGGGGGAATGGGTGAGTGGAAATTATGATGGCCTCTTTCAAGCGCATGTAGGGTTTCGGGCAATGAAGTGCGTTTGAATTGCCTGTCTCAGGCAAGCCCTATGGCTGCAACTTTTTTTAACTTGATGGAGTCGTTGCAGCTTGTTCATCATACTACCGGGTCAAATTTTAGAAGAAGCCATCTCCAAACTAACATGGAAGCTGGGGTCAGCCTTTACTTGGAGATGCCCATACCCCCTCCAAACTATCATGGAAGCTCATCAGGTGTTCTCATAGACCGCCATCCTGTCAGCATGGGTCTGCGTGGTTTTCTTACTTTGAGCAGGCTACTTCACAGGTCTAGCCCCATGAAATGTGATCAATATCAGCCTAAGCCCAGCCTACTGGGAGGGTCAGGGGGACTTTAATATGTAGGTTAAAAATGGGGATAGCCGGGTCTGCTATGTGCCTTTATAGGGGTTATAAGCATACTCTCTCAGTCCCCCTCCCTAAACCCTAAACCCTAAATCCTAAACCCAATTAAAACCCAAAACCCGAAACCCTAACCCCAAACCCCCTGACCCTCCAAGGCGCCTCCCTGGGCGGGTCCAGACAGGTGAGATCTGCTGGCACCAGGACGCCTGTTCAGGGTTTAGGCTTGAGGGTTTAGGGTTGAAGGTTTATGGGGTTCAGTAGGCTTTATGGTTTAGGGTTAAAGTAAGGGCCCAATTAATTCCCCAAATCGTGGCCCAACATTAAGTTATCTTCTAACCTACTAGGATTTAGGGTGTCGGGCTTATCGGGCTAATGGAAAATCAAATATAAAGCAAACGGGAAATCTGGAAACTACTGCTTAGGATTCAGGCTTTAGGGTTTCTGAGGTTAGTGGAAGTCAAATGGAAAAGCAAATGAGAAATTGGATGGAACCTTGGGATTATGGTGTTTAAGGCTTATTCATTTGAAAAGAAAACTGCTGGGTGGATACTAGGGAGTGAAGTAACAGAAAGGAGCAGGCAAACTAGTCAAGTACTTACGGGCTTCTGAAGGGGACCATATGAGAAATGAAGCTCTGATGAGTTGGAGTATGCAAATTTCTTCTTAACAAAAATCTGCCTCAAAAGTGACCTAGACCCCAAACCCGCTAGGGTCTCTTGACTGAAGGAAAGGTTATGGCAACTACAAGAATTGGAGCAACTGTTTAACATTTAGGATTTGGATTCAGGGCATGTAATAGAAGAGTAACTAGAGCTACTTTGTTTCAGAGGTGATATCAGGACTACTACAGAAGTCCGTGCCTCCAGTCCCCACTAACCGTTCACTAGCCACGGGAGTTAGTGGGGAATAAGGGAAAGATAACATAAGCGGTATATAGAGATTGTATGCCCTTGTTTCCTATATTCCCCTGCTAACCCCAGCAGGTCTAGAGGACAGGTTACGTGTGCTTGGTTTGGCTTTACGTGGTAACTGTGGTGCCTCAAAACGATACAAGAGCGACTTTGTTCGTTTGGAGGTCCCCAACGTTTCTCGCGTGTGTGGCTTACGTACTCAGGGGGACTCCTTTTACGATACGTGGGGTCGCGTCGAATTTTTGTTTCGCAGGCTGGGCCAAGGGAACCTTAGGTCTGTAGGTAGTATATTTTACAGTACATTATCACATTATAGTACATTATAGCATCTAAGACGGGCCTTCGGGGTCTCCTTCTTCGCATGCTTTCACTAGGTTGTCGTAATGTCTAAATGAACCATCGGCATGGGCGGTAGAGGATCGGACAGCATTGTCTTTTAGCTTCTCCGCTGCGAGTCCAAACGCTTTGGGAGTTTGCATTCCAAAGGAGGGGATCCAACGTAGCCCAACCACGGGCGCAAACATACCCAATGTCTACAACGCCCTAAGTCATTCTTCAGAGCCACCTGTCAACCTCAAGATCCAACAAAACCCAAAAGAGTTGCCAAATATGAAATCCTACAAAGACCTTCGCAGAAATGCTCGCCATCCCTTTGGGTCCCCTTGTTGTCACTAGGGTTAGGAAGCAGCCCCTCAATTTGTAGAAAGTTTTCACCGTGTGTTTCCAGGCCCGCGTCTTGCCTGTTGGAGGGTGGGACCCCATTGCAGGTGTGCACAGAGGAACCACACAAATCAGAATTGAAGGCATCTGGTGAATAGCGTAATTGGGCAGGGTCAAAGACTGAAAGCCCAAGCCCTGTAGCCTGTATGCATACAGCTCTAGGATACGTCCTAGTCCTAGTGAAGCCAGTGGAAACTTGATCTCTTCCATGACACAAGAACCTCAACCGCTTGGCTGAGCGCGCTGCGGATGCGCACGCTTGCAGAGCTACCCACGTCATTCACGGTTTTTACCTGAAAGGGCTGGTGGTCGTCAGGAATGAGCAAAACCCTCAACGGGCGTGCACTAATTACACGGAATATTTACCAGGTTAGATGTCCCCTGCAAGCTACCCACAACCAGAAACAGCACTAAGACAACTGCAAGCCCAAAGATTGGGTTCAATGGACCTCCTTGCAACAGCCATGCATACAGCAAACAACTGTATTCACTAGAATCCCAAGAGAGGCCGTCCGTTTTCGGAATGCTCCTTATCTTGAATCCTGAATGCCCAAAACAACCCTGATCCACTCTCGGATATTGAATATGCAGCTCGCCTACCTCGACAAATTGGCCTACTCTAAGGATATCTAATGACCGCTTAATGCCGTCAAAACGGGCCATTGTAAGGGAGGCGACGTTTGTTTCTTTTGCTTGGTGGAATTTATTCGTATCAGGCAATGAGACCCACAACCCCAAAACCTGCAACACCGGCCTCAAACACCCAGACTGATCTGCTCTTACGAAACTTGAACTTAGTTTCCCGATAGGGTAAAAGGTATAGGTGTATATACGTGAGCAGGAGTGTCATGTATGCGGTTGGTTTACTTATGATGGCGAGAGGCCTTACGTTCAAAAACACTAGCCTCACGCACCTGCACCCCAGCCCATCACAAGGCCTGAATTCCTTGCCACAAGCATGAAAGTTGATCTTGTGTTTCCGTAAAATTGGGGGACCCCATGGAAACTGCCAAACTACTGTCATCCTGTATTATGGGGACCCCAGAAGGGAACCACTAATTTCCGAAAATCAACCTTATGGCACCTTTGTCCAAACCACCAAACATCTTCCATTCCCTGTCACCAATCCTCAGGAGCCTTCTATATGTAAAGGGGATGAAGGGGTATACCTCAAATCTCTAGAGCCCAAGCCCTAATGTTGGTTGCGCGTCCCCACGGCAGAGGCGGCAGGCGGCAAGAATTGGGATTGTTGCACTCAAGGCACGCATTTTCCAATCTCCTCCATTAAGCCCTACTTTTGAATCCTGACCTCCTCCCCGCAACCCTGAATCAAAGCCCAAACACGCCTTGAGAATCCTGAATTTCAATACCAAAAAAGCCCGCCCCAAAGCCCAAAACTCCAAACCCTGCATCTGCAAATGCCTGAAACTCGTAAGCGCGGTCGGGCAGAAGCTTACGAATTTTCAGCGGCTCGGGCGAGGAGACGGGGACCTGGGCTGAGGGTTTAGGATTTAAGGTGTGGTATAGGGTTTCAGGGATTCTGGGCTGAGCAATAGGGGTTTACAAGTGTTGTAGTCCACCCTAAGAGTTGAACCTCATTCCCTCTAGTAAGCCAGCGCAGTATATACTATGATCTACGATTTGGGAACAGCAGTTTATTAAGTGTGGTGGCTTTTTATGGAAAATTCTCCAAATTGCCTCTATACAATCCCTCATAAGGACTCCCCGTCATCCCCTAATAGTCCCTACAAAACTCTTGGGTCCCTAGGCCCCCCGACTACGAGAAACTCCTATAAGCCCTGACGAAAGCCAAGTAACCCCCTAAACCCTAATTGAGCCTTGAAATCTCCGATCTCCTCGAGCTCCTCCTCTGTACCTGCAAGGCTGACAGAGGTATCCAATGCGTTGTGAGATTTCAATTTCAACGCTTGGGTTATACAGATATCAAGTTTTTCTCAGCTGAGTGAACAAGTTTTGTGGTTGATTTGAGGCGCCGAGGGCTTCTGAGCTCCAAAGATCCTTAATCCCTACATAACCCTATATCAGCGCTATATCCCCTTAAAGGGATCCCTAAGTTTGGGAAATCCACATTTATGAGGACTGCTGTTCGGAAGTGGGCCGGCCCTAGGTCTGGCAATTTCTCAAGTTAGGCTCCCTGTCGTATACCCGCATGTTCTTGGCTTGCTGTACTATCGTTTATACCCACAAGCCCTGTATCCGAACGAAATGGCAACATGGAGCCCACCAGATTGAGAACCTCCAAACCACGGGCCATGCAGAGTCCTTGTACTACTGTGAAATCTTGCACCACCTCATATAGCCCGTACCCCAAAAATTACAATATGGTGGTTTACCTAATAAATAGGGTGACCGGGGTAATATAGGGTTATATGGGAATTTCTAGGGGGTTTATGGGTTTTAGGCCCAACGCCACTCCAAACCAAAGCAACTCCCAAAACCGTTTATGCCCTTCCCTTGTGAATAAAATCCCCGCACCCCTGGTAATGAGCAGGCCCCTATTGAGTGATATTAAGGGGTATCTACAATTTCGGGGATCGGATTAACAAAACCCCAACGCCGTGGAACAGGCGACCGCAATACACACCAAGTACAGATTTCTAGCAGGTGACAACGACGAAGCCGTAAAATCCACAACCCTGGCGTTTCCATTTCACAGCACGCACACGCCTAGATCGTCAATGTCCTGATAAGAGTTCTAGGCAAAGAAACATGTCAAATCCAAAAAAGAACCTCATTGGGTTGTTCAGGCGCAGACCCCTCCCCGAGCTGGCCTACGCCAGGTCTCAGCAGCAGAACCACAGCCACTACATGGGTGGCCGTCGTACGGCCCTCGGCAAAAGCCTTGGGCGTCTGATGTGGGCGTTTTTCGGACATTCTCCATACGGAATTACAAATCCCTGAGACCCTTAAAGTTTGAAGCATACCCCAGTTGTTGAGAAACTCCCATGTTTGAGAAGCCTGAAATGCTACTAACTGTTACGATGCCGCAACATGTCGCACCGGATTTCCGGATGGTTACACAGCAATGTCTAGGGACTCTAGTGCACTGTGTTAATAACCCTGTTTGGATTTGAGGGCGCTGTAGGGTTTCACTACACAAGAATGTCACAGGAACCCTAGAACCTAAACCCTTTGCCAATCTTCCAGCCCTGGACCTTGTGCCCACATGTTCAACAGACCATAAACCACACTTTTACTGGAAACTCCGAAGGTCCCATCCAGATTCCGAAGCCTCGAACCTAGACCTCGCTGCCCTGAACTCAGAAATCCTCACCCCCAGCCCGGAACCTTTGCCCGCAACCCTACATAAACATGTACATAAACATGCTCTGAAGCCCTAACCACTAACCCTCAACCCTATTCCCCAACCCTAACCCAAAGCTCCACCGGGGCAGGTTCAAAGGTTCCAACCACGGAACCCTCATACGGCTCTTTATCCTCCAGGCCACTTATGCATATGTTCCCTACTTCTTAAATATACAACATCGTGATAAACACACATATGTGTATATATACATATATATATATGTATATAAATGTACATATGAGGATACGCACGCAAGCAAATATTTGTGCACTTTTGATGCATTCAGGGCCCCCGCAACCCCAGAAAGTGTGAACGCCTGCAGTAGGGGCCCTTGGCTTTAACCTCAAAAGGATACCTCTCACAACAATCTACAATCCCTTGACAAACTCACAAAACATTCCTTTAAAAGAGAGGCATGCGGAATCCTATGTTAGTCTGGGAGCGTATGAAGGCCTCACATTAGCCCACAGCCCTTTTGCCGCTAGACCTGCATTTGCACGCAATATCTGTGAAATCAACACACCAGAATCTAACGACAGTGCTAGTCTCCGCCTACACTCCAAACCCCTAGACGTCTTGACCCTAAGGCCTGCTTCTCAACAAAAAAGGAACACCAAGAAACCATCACAAAACAAGGAATCAATCTCCAGGCCCAGAGGATTAGGGGAGTTCTATAGGGAATGCAGAGGCTTGAGGGTTCACATTCAGGGGGACAATGAGGCGTTAAATTGAAAATGACATGGCAGCTGGGATTATGCAGAGGCTCGAAAGCAAGATTGAAATGGATGGCCTAAACCCTACAACCCTAAACCCAAAATTGTAATGGATCGATCGTGGCACCCTCTCGGAGCTCGTCTGGACTTCCAACTGCACCTCTGCCTCACCTCTCGTTGGATTCAGTTCAGCCACATGGAGCCCACCCAGTAACAGTCTATATTCGGGGTCCTATTAAGGGCTATATATAACCATATTTTAGTTATTCTCCAACTGTTACTGAGTGGGGGCAGTACCCAACGTATAAGGTTACAAAAAAACGGAGACTTAAATGGACAAGAACATTGTAGGAACACTGACTGTATAGCGGCTTATAAGGTTCACCATGAACCCTTTACCGTTCAGGCTTTTTTGGGTTTTTCCAGATCTCTCTCTCTCTCTTCTCTCTTGGTCTAGGCGTGGTTTAGGGTTTAGGGTTTAGGGTTTAGGGGTACCGTAGGTCCCTTTGAAGGGGGATAGAAGTGGCATATGGACTACTTGGAAGATCAGAGGACTTAGTAGGTAGCTTCACAATTAGGATGACTGGCCTCACTATATGGCCTACAAGGGTTTCGAGTAAACCCCTCGAACCCCCCAAGCTGAGTTTACTGGGTTGCTGTTAGGGAACTCAATTTAGATTACTATTAAGTTCCTTGACAGCAGCCTAGAAAAGTTGTCTTGTCAATCACTTCCAGACTTCAAGTAAAATAGTATTCCCAAGATACGTATAACTTAGATCCAGAAACGTTATTCCTATGCAGAATCCCAAGGGCCAGGATCCCAAGGAAGGACCCAGGCTACAGATCCTGATGAGGACGTATGTTTTGTTCTGTTTGAGAGGGGTGGGGTGGTAGCATATGTATGTACATACAGATATGGATATATATATATATACACACTTACTCCGAAAGACCGGAAAGTTTAAGGCCGCCCGCTGAGCTGCTAAGTCCTCCCGCCGCAGAACTCGAGACGCTGCAATCCCCACATCCTTCCTGAACAATGTACTCTGACCCACACTGCCGTGGAACCTGGAAAGACACCCTACCCTAAACCCTATAAGCCTACTCCCTATGAAGACTATCGTCGTCCCAAATGGGGGGGTCCATGTTAGCTTGTGGGAGGATACCTCTTTTTGAGCTCCACAACAAACAAGTCCCGAACCCAAAGCTGCCAACCCCTGAACCCTACCCGTAACCCGCATTACCTAAAGCTCAGTGGTACTTCCCCCTAAGCCTCAACCCCAAACTCCAGAGCTGCAAGCGGCTTCAACCCGGAAGTGGCCTTCTTGGCATCTGCGGAGGCTGACAATCCGGACACTGCTCGGCATCCTGGGCGAGCTTAGTTTAAACAGAGCTCTACATTTTTCTACATACATATATGTATATATATACAGGGATATAAGAGTTACATAAGTGTTTACAGAGGGATATCTAAAGACGTATAAGATAAGGTTATGGAGGGTTTGGGGTTTAGGGAATTAGAACTGAGTTGCCATGGGCACCGTTGCACAAGGCTGCTTCTATAGCGATATGGGGAGACTAGGTCTATACGCGCCAACCTCGAAACTTCTTACATGCCTGGATCTGAGGTGGGATGGAGGGGAAAGGCGCAAGAAACCCTGCACCCCGAACCTTACGGCTTGAACCCTTAGCCATCCCTAAAGCATGTTTAGGTGTAAGGTCTGCTCTATCCAGAACATTCTAACCTAAATTTTCCTTCCCATGGCTTTCGGGGGCAACTTGAGCATTGCCTGTGCCCTCTCAGGCTAGGCATCGCATACCGGGACCCGTCGCATAAGCATATGTTGTTAGTTGTATTGTGGTACTTTCGAGGCCGCAAGGCCACAATCTGCGCAGATTGTGTTCAAATGCATAACTCTGAGATGGAAAGTCTACCACTCAAGCAGCTGTCTGCCAAGAGATTTAAGGGATGCTGAAAGAGTACCTGGCCATGTTTTAGGAAATGAGGGTCCCTTTTCGCCCCCTGCAATGGTGGCATCTTTGTCATTGCAGCCCCTTGTCTTGAGAAAACCTACTCACCAAACCTTATAAACCGTGAACCGACTAGAAATCCTTACATAACCCCTATAGTGACCCGCGAAATGGACCAGCAGGTTCGAGTTTTGGGAAGTTCGGCTTTTCGGCGGATAAATGCTCAGCCTCCCTCCCTTTCAATTGCAGCTGTGGTGCTCTGGTGCCTGCGCCGGCACTCCCAGAAAGTCCTCGCAGCAAATAGCAAAACGAGGTCTTCCCAGGTGGATTGAGGAGTGTTCCAGCAGCGGGAGCCTTCAGGTCCGTTTAGCCTTTGGGCTTCTTGCCTCGTGCCTCGCGCTTGAAATTAGTTTTCCCTGATGTCACTCTTCTTGGTGTCACCCACCTTTTTATAACCGAGGTTGGCATTTTACGAAAAACTAGTGTCACCGTCATAGGAACGAGCGGCGCGTGAAACTGCGGCTGGTACTCTGGTTCTGAAGTGAATTAATGTTTTCCGACCCTGTTCCAACAGAATGTTGAGGGCACGCCGAAATCCACAAATCCTGTCAGTGTTCAAGTCTGGTCTTGTCGTACAATGAATGGGACCATCCGAAAACCTTCCCCCTAAGTTAAGGGCATGGCCTTTTGCTATTTTCCGATAAAGTTCATGAGATCCGTAGTAACAGACTACAGAGCAGACTATGATATCTTGCATCCGCACTGTCTATTCCACCACGCGAGGTTCACACTACAGAAAATGAAAACCGCCGAAGGCCCACAACAACTACCAACCTGCTCAAAGGTGGGCGCTACGTGGCGTTTGGTTTACCTTGAACCCTAAGCAATGGTCCATCCTTCGCCGGAGCAGGCCCCCAACCGTGAATAGAGTATGGGGAGAATTTGCTGTGGCTAGCAGGGCGAGCCACGTCTTACCTTGAGCCATGAACCCTACACAATGATCCGTCCTCCACAGGAGCAAGCCCTCACTGTGACTGGAGTATGCGGAGGTTTTACTGGGGCTACCAGGCGGAGCCACCTCTTCATCCACACAAGGCACTCTGTAATCTTCCCGTATGGCTACAAGCAAACTGTCAGTTGCTCCCCATGTGCCCAGCAATTACGCGCTTCGCTTCCCCATGGTACTCACGACTCACGACCCGAAACCCTGAGCCCCAACCCCTGTTACAGTACATATGCTCCAACTCTGGACATAAACACAGTACAACAAAACCCGACTGCCCGACAATTTTTGCCCGCGCGCCCATCTAAGGGGCTCTGACTGAGCCCTCAGAAATCCTGCCGGAATTTCTGGAACCTAAGCCAGCAGCCAGCATTCCATCATAAAACGGGAATTTTTTTATCATATGGCCGGCGCCCCCTTGCACATCCGAAATCCTATTGCATCCCGACACAACCCACGTCTTGTACCTAAACCACCCAAAAAACCGAAAGCTCTAGAAGCGCAATCCCAAACATAAACAAATCCCAAAACACGAAACTCTCAAGTCTCAAATCCTCAAACCTACACCCCAAAGACCTAAACATCAAACCTGAGAGTTCTAGATAAGCCCCACTTCTCAAACCCTACTTGCAGGGTCAGTAGCTCACTTCTAACCCGATAATCTATACAGTAACCCCCAGTTATCCTCACGACAAACCTACGTCCTACATACGAAGGGCATCTGACCCTTCAAGTAGATTATACACTAGATGCCCTAGACTGTAATCCCCGGATATCCTTATGTACCCTTATATCCTCCATCAAGCCTCATATAACCTCAAACCCGAAGCCGTAAAGAGGAGGCCTGCAGCACGGAGCTATCGCGCAAGTCGCTGTTTGACAGCATTTCTGCCAGCTGTGTCTGCAGGATGGCTTTAGTGTGGCATGGGGGGGTTCTCTCAAAGTAGGGGTTCCCTAGGTAATAAAGGGATCTTAGTAACCCCAGCCCCTAGTATGCAATAAGGACTCTATCTAGAAGTACCACATGATTCTAGTAGGGTCTGGGGGTTGGGGTCAATTGACAATTGCGGTCCTCTTATCAATATACCCTACGGTAGGGACCCCATGCATATGCATGGGCAGTAGGATGTTTATAGGGGTTGAAACCATCAGGGGGTTCCTTTCGGGTCCTCCCGATGAAGTTCGGGAAAAGTTGTTTGGGGGCACTGGGTCCTGGAAGAATTCCAAAGGCAGGACTTGTGTGTTGGAGCTTGGGCTCAGAGCCCTTCGGATCAGCCTCACCCCAATTAAAGCTTAATTTAAGTTGCATAGATTGGGGCCCAGGCCCAGCATTGACCAGATTCTTTTGTGCCCCTTTCAAGGGCCATTATTCCGTTGTGCTGGGCCAGGTATACTACCTACCCCTCAGCAAAAAGTGATTTGCTATGTTTTGTTTTCTGGAATAAGCGGTCTAACAAGACATGTATGCTAGTTGTCTGTCAAGGGGGACCAGAGCTTTGAACGGAGATGGTCTAGGGATTGAGGTTGGGGGTGCGGGGTAATTATGGCTAAGGTATCAGGGTGTTGGGCTGAGGGGCGAAAAATGTATCGGGATAGGGGTTGGCAGACTCAGAATGGGTCCTGCAGATCCTATACAATTCTCACACGCAAGATCTATCAACCGTACCACAATTTCTGGCATCCTGCACGGAACCTAGTTACAATCATTCTAAAGATGGTGGATCCAAGTGTCGGAAAGCCTCTAACGCAGCGACAAAACCACAATGCTTGTGCTCACTTGCGGTTGTTCCTTCCTGGACGCCACCAGAAGAGCCAAGGTGGTTTGGTATTACATTGGATGGTTTGTTATTCGGGTGAGGGGACAACACGTCCTGAAACGGAGCTTTTCTTACCTTAGTATCATGGCAGGCATGTCGATTATTAGGCTAGGGTATAGGCTTTATGGTTGGTGGGGGCTTGAGTACTGGGCGATTTCGTTTAGAAGGAAGCTAGGAACCTGGATTTTGGCCACCCCAACCCCCGAAATTAGAACCCTGTAACACCCTATACTATACTCATCTTTCCGGTCCTAAGTTTGGGTGTTAGGATTCCCCCCAAAAATCCTCTTATAACTGGCAGGCTCCCCCAAAACGGAAATCCCTATCAGCCCTGAGAGCACCCTACCTAACCCCCTACTCTAATAATTTGATGATAACCA